ATTGCCGAGCAGCTTGACGCCACTTCGGGCTACCATCTCTCCAGCTGCCTGTACCTCATGTCAAAGATATTGTACATAGATGAATGTGGATATGAACACGCCTTAAAATTATGACCTGTTCTTAATTATTAAATCAGGACCTGTATTTTTGTTCAAAGGCAATCGTCTACCGTTTGCATCTCTATGTAACTGATTAATATTTGAATCTATGCCGGAAACAGTGGTGTCGCCAAGGGGGGAGGGGGGCGAGGGTGACTCCCCTCCGCCAATCGCCACAAAAACCATTCTCTCAAAAAAGCTAAATCCGTAGAGAAATTGGGGGGGCTACACGTTACATGCTCGAAGCTGAAACTAATTAATACTGGAGGAACTTGATTTGTAAAATCTCGTTAAAGTATTTGTAGTCGTGTAGATATGGTTCCAAGAAGAATAGATTTGCAATAGAAACACCAGGCGTAAATCGAATTCTAGCTAAAAATGTTATTGCACAGCAAATAACTCGTAAAAGAGGCATATTCAAAAAACATTTGGTATATAAAAAGTATTTATGAGTAACGTTTTAGATTTTTAACTGTTAATTAAATACATGTATGCATTATCATAGCAAGAAAATATTTCATCTCAGACGGTGACACTGACCTCTCCTCCTGTTTTCAAGGTGTCTTTTCCAATTTATTTAATTCCGAGTAGAAATGTCTGGGAAAATTCGTGTCTTCGATGTGTTTTATAATCTTCGGAATTCTGCTAGATTTCACCCCCAAAATGCTTGAAATCGCATTTCAGGGACTCTAGATTTCTCACGCCTTCGTGAGCTTCGCCTACCCAAAAATGAAGGTCTGGCTACACCACTGGCAGGAAACGGAGCAGTCACTGTCGAAAGAGCTTGTTTACACTTTCAAATTTTCTTTCAAAGATATTGTAACCCGCCCCTATTAAAAACTAAAAATAAAAAATTCTTGCAAGCGTTTGACTATTAAACAAAAAAAAAGCGTGCACAACATGTGCGTCCAAAAAAAAATCCAGCAAAGGAAAAAGCTGCAACCACCCCCTCAAATATCTAATGGTCCGTCCCTTAGACAGAGTAAAATAATAAAATAGGGCGCATCTGGATGCATTGCCTCTTAAAGGGTTATTAACTTATTATCAGTTAATCTTACTCCAAGTCATTGCCATCCTATAGTTATTCGCACCATGATGTACTTGAAAATAGCGTGAAAGCAATGTCCAGTAATATTTTCTAATTTATTATCTTCTCTACAGACGCAGCAAACATACAATGGTTGCTTACAACAATGCTTTGTATGTCTTTGGTGGCAATGATGGGTATGTTACTAAATCATCTGGCCGTAGACAGAGGAAAGTAGTTATTATATAGTGATTGACTGATAATCAGCATCGATATCTGGCTCAGATTTTTGGTATCTTTCTGAAATTCAGTAAGTTTTGCGTATATTGCTGTACATATATGTACAATTACGGCGTCACTTTTAAAGTAACCCGCGTGCAGGCCCAGGGAAGAATAGTGGGCCTGCAAGCAAGGCCCGGTATTTTGTACTTTCCCGTTCGCCCACGAACGCGGCATTCTGATTGGTTGTTTGCTGTTGGATTATATGATTAGATCAGTGATTCATCACAAAGGCTCTCGATTTCTTTCGATAAGCTTAAAATTCGAAAATTGATTACTTTTTCGATTAAAAATGGCACAAGAACAGACTGTTTATTGTTTACTTGAAGGAAGAGATGTTTTTGCCGTTATGCCAATGGGATTGCTTGTCGTGAAGTGTTGAAATAGCAACATTACGACTGGGGTAAACTATAGTAACCTACTAACCTTTACTTGAGTTTCATTAATTTCAAACAGACTTGATACGTTATATGTTCCTCAAGGAAATTATCTTTTGGTAGATGTTGACTCTGTTCTTGCACTGATGAAAACAGCGCTTTTCGCGGTGAAGATTTAGAGGCAGTTGCATGTAAGCCTATTCGAAACACTTTGCGATTGGCAAGGCTTCGCTGAGACAGCGAAAAAGAAGATGGTAATTGCCGATTGAAACGAAACGATCTGGACCCTGAAGCTCTCTTCTTTTGTAGAGTTCTTTACCAAATGAAATAACTGAAATAAATTTCGTACTTTCCGCCGCCAACAAGAATTGCACACTCGGTCTGATAAGTGAGACAATTTATTTATAACAATGGCGACAGCGAAGCACACATTGCATATTTGCATTAGCACGACTTCCCTCACGATTTGAAGTTTGAGACTGGTTTTCTGTTGAAATTCGTCCTAATTTGCCTGTTGCGATTTTAGTTGAAAATGAGCATTTGCAAATTTGGCAATTACTGACTGCGTTGCTTGCTTTTTTGGAGTTACACTGTAAAACACAGTCATTTACACATCGTTTCTATTTTGAATAAGCAGAGAAAACCCCGCAACATTTCAATGCGAGTTTGTTTTTTACTATTTGGGATGCTGTCATTGGTTCTTTTTTGACAATTGACGCGCGAATGGGGCGTGTTGTGAAAAGGGCGTTTTACAAAATACCGGGCCTTGCTTGCAGGCCCACTTCTTCCCTGGGCCTGCACGCGGGCTACTTTTAAAGCATCGTTGGTAATTGCATCATGGCTCAAATGCCAAAGCAAAGTAAATGAGAAAGCAAATGATTACTGGATTACTGTATTGTTTCAGGATTACTGTCTGCGTTTCATTTTGCGTGGTTCATAGTTCAAGACAATCATTATGACCCAACATTTTGAAACTGTACCAAACCCTTTGATGGTTGACATTGTACGACGTCGTCATTTTCCTGAGGTGAGTGTTCTTCATTTGAACCATGCATGGTCAGTTAGCGTAAACTAGACTTTGTAAACTAAATCTAGAGTTTATAAACTGCATAGCTCTATCAGTTCTGAACTGTTCTCCCTGGAGATCCAGTTACAAGAAGAAAATTAAACTAACCTAACTTTTTACTGGATTTTCCATACGAGCCATCTCTTGTTGATGCAGTGTTTCTACAGGATTTTCTCCTTAACTAATTACTAACTTTATTTATACTGGATAGCTCTATCAGTTCTAAACTGTTCTCTCTGTAGAGGTCCAGTAAGGATCATCTCTTCTTGATTAGTGTTAGTACAGGAGGAAACCTAAACAAAACTAACTTTATTTATACTGGATAGCTCTATCAGTTCAGTCTAAACTGTTCTCCCTATAGTGGTCCAGAAAGGATCATCTCTTATTGATCCAGTGTTACTACAGGAAGAAACCTGAACTAAACTACCTTTATTTACTGGATAGCTCCGTTCTCCCCGGAGGTCCAGTAAGACGTTCATCTCTTATTGAACCAGTGTTACTGCAGGAGGAAACCTAAACTAAGCTTACTTTATTTATAATAGCAAAGTTTTCACAAATAAATTAGCTTTTCCTACTTATTGCAATGTGCTCAAAAACAACGTCAAAATAATTTTCGATACTCACTGATAATTAGCTGTGTAAAAATCTTGAACATAGCAGCTGCATTTTTTGGGATCTATGTATATTCCAATTTAATTTTTTCAATTCAATAGTTTTCTAGACATCTGTTCCTGAACCGCAACACTTAACTGTTCATTCTTTGAATTTGAATGCAGGTCTTTGAATTTGAATTTGAATGCAGGCCTTTGAAAAGTCTTTGAAGTGTGTCAAAAAGTGAAGAAAGTCTTTAAAATTAATTCTTTAATGAATATTTGATTATTCGATTTCTTTATATAGCTAATAATAAAAATAAATTGATTGAACTACAAGGTTTTCGAAAATATCGATGAAAAGGTACATTTTAAGATGTGATGTGGCGGGACTAATTACTGGGCAAAAATGGTGCTTATGCTCGCAATCTTTCGACTGCTGATTGCCTTCAAAAGTCTTTGAAAAGTCTTTGAATATAGGCAGAAAAAATCTTTGAAAGTCTTTGAATATTTTTGATCTTGGAGACTACGAACCCTGGGTAAGCGGCGAAAATATTCAGCTTATCATGAAGAAATGGTCCTCATAAGCAGTAATTCAAATATTTATAGGTTTCGGCGAGTGATTTCTCAAGACAGGAAAGGAGTCTTTTTGTAAAAATAATAATATACATATAAATGTTACTCGACTATGATTATTTACAAGCGCAAACAAGAGCGTGAGTGCAAAATTCTGTAACAACAGTGCAAAGTTATGTTACAACAGTGAAAAAAAATAAGCTTAATTAAAGCAGTGCAAAAGACGGTTATATAATGACTGCGAAAATATGGTGTCTGTGGTTTTATTGAAATGGAAAGACTTTACCTTTAGTAACATGCAGTAACAAATTCTTTGTATCAATCTTCCAGTGTCTTCTCTGGAAGATGGCTTAAAGGCAATTTAGAATGATTCATGTGATGGAAATTTATGTGATATGACTATGGTTGTCGGTGAAACAAACATCAGAGCACACAAGGTAATTGTCAGATTATTTATGATAGGTGAAACCGTTTGACATTTACGGTAACTGATAGGTAAACACTGATAGGTAAAACCGTCTCGTGTTATACAGTAAACTAGAATAAGCCAAGTTTTTGTATATACTTCTTCCTATAGAGGTCCAATAAGGATCTCTTATTGATTCAGTGTTACTACAGGAGGAAACCTAAACTAAACTCACTTTATTTATACTGGATAGCTCTATCAGTTCTACACTGTTCTCCGTAGAGGTTCGGTAGGGGTCATCTCGTATTGATCCAGTGTTACTATAGGAGGAAACCTAAACTAAACTAACTTTAATTATTTATACTGGATAGCTTTATCAAGCGCTCTAAACTGTTCTCACTAGAGCTGCAGTAAGGATCATCTGTTATTGATCTAGTATTACTACAGGAGGAAACCTAAACTAACTTAATTTATAATTGATATCTTTATCAGTTCTAGACTGTTCTCCCTACAGAGGTGTGCATGCAGTATTGGCAGTAAGTTTAATGTTATCACGTTTTTCTTTCGAATTTTGTTTTAGGGAATACTCACAGCGCGTTGTAGGTAAGTTAAAATTTTAAACATGAAGTGGTAAAGTCTATACAGAAGAGCAAGTTCTCTTGACAAATTTTATTTGCTCGTGTGTAGGGCAAAAAATTGACCAATTGTCCTTGCCAAGAAGCCTCGTGACAAAGCTAGCCATGCCGGCTTTTGGACAAGGAAAATTTGTTCGTGTGTATGGCCGCCATTGATAACTTGACAAGTGTACGAGAAATACTTCTGTTGTCTTGACAAAGAAAAGATAATATCCTCTCAATTCTTTGCTTGCACATGACGTTACTACGTGTCATAGGCGCCATCTTGGTTGATTTTAAAGTTTTTAGATCGAAATAGTTAGTTACTTTAAAGTGGAAGTCAATTAAGTCCGTCCTGCGCATCGGTTCTGCTCATAACAATTTGAAGACCTCTATAAATGTGAACATTGCCCAAATTTCGAATGTTTCGAATTTTTGTGAACATAAACTCTATTTCATATTCATTTCGAAGCATAGCGAACCAAAATGGTGTTAGATATTCGGACAGCACTCATATTTTAAAAAATACAGCAGTTTAAAATGTAAACAAACCGTTTATTTACATTACGGACGTGACTTCCACTTTAATATTTTTGGTTTGTTTTGAAAACATCTTACTGTATTATGGATAGTTTACGATTTCTTGCACAATAAGACAAAGAATGAAGAATATAGATTTTTAGTTGCCACGTATATTTTTGAAAATCAACCAAGATGGCGTCGATTGCCGAGCAAAAGGGGCTGGACTGTAATAGGTGATTATGGTTCAGCTTGCCTCAAGGATGATCAAGGATCGTTATTGGGCCCTATTTCATTTCCACAAATGTCTAGTAAACAAATTGTCTATCACGCATTTTCCTTTTATAGTTATTTTGAGGCGATGTTCAGATCTTTCATGCCAGAAGCTGGACTTGTCCGGGTAAGTCAGTGAAGTTCTTAGTTCAGTTAGGCCCTGTTTACATGAGACCGATACAGTCATGATATAACAATATTGTTACAACCTTTTGTCGTCAACCTTGTACACGCGCAAAAATCTCACATCTTGTAGCACGTTTGTCAACAATACGTCAACAAGTTGTGTTAGCTCTGCTTGTCCCAAGTTGTCAACAAGGAGACATCTTCTTGACAAGTTGTTGGAGCAGCATTGTTACATCTCGTTAACAAGCTTCCTACAACCCTGTTGCGAAAAGTCTTGTTGACAAGTTGATGGAACGGCATTGTCATAACTTGTTTGTTATCTTGCTACAAGCCTGTTGCAAAAAGTCTTGTTGACAAATTGATGGAACGGAATTGTCTCAACTTGTTAACAAGCTTGCTACAAGCCTTTTGCGAAAAGTCTATTTCACAAGTTGATGGAACAGCATTGTTACAACGTGTTAACAAGCATGCTACAAGCCTGTTGCGAAAATTCTTTTTGACAGGTTGATGGAACAGCATTGTCACAACTTGGTAACAAGTTTGCTACAAGCCTGTTGCGAAAAATCTTGTTGACAAGTTGATGAAACGGATTTGTCACAACTTGTTAACAAGCTTGCTACAACCCTGTTGCGAAAAGTCTTGCTGACAAGTTGATGGAACGGCATTGTCACAACTTGTTAACAAGCATGTTACCAGCTCGTTGCAAAAAGTCTTGTTGACAAGTTGATGGAACGGAACTGTCACAACTTATTAACTAGAACACATTATATCACAAGAACACATTGGTATTGAAGGAACTAGATACTGTTCCGAAATATCACTTACTCGAACCGTCCTGACCGCGTAGCTCAGTTGGAAGAGCATTGGGCTAGTATTCCAAAGGTCGTAGGTTCGAATCCCACCGTGGCCGGGCAAATTTTTCAAGCTCGCCCGGTGTGGATATGCACTTAGAGTAACATCACAAACATATTATTCACCTGAGTACACAACATCAGCACAGAAAAAAATTCATATCACAAGAACACATTGGTATTGAAGGAGCTAGATACTGTTCCGAAATATCACTTACTCGAACCGTCCTGACCGCGTAGCTCAGTTGGAAGAGCATTGGGCTAGTATTCCAAAGGTCGTAGGTTCGAATCCCACCGTGGCCGCGTATATTTTTCAAGCTCGCCCGGTGTGGATATACACTCAGAGTAACACCACAAATATCATATTCACCTGAGTACACTACACCAACACAGAAAAATTCATATTACTAGAATACATTGGTATCGAAGGAACTAGATTCTGTTCCGAAATATCACTTACTCGAACCGTCCTGACCGCGTAGCTCGGTTGGAAGAGCATTGGGCTAGTATTCCAAAGGTCGTAGGTTCGAATCCCACCGTGGCCGGGCAAATTTTTCAAGCTCGCCCGGTGTGGATATGCACTCAGAGTAACATCACAAACATATTATTCACCTGAGTACACAACACCAGCACAGAAAAAAATTCATATCACAAGAACACATTGGTATTGAAGGAACTAGATACTGTTCCAAAATATCACTTACTCGAACCGTCCTGACCGCGTAGCTCAGTTGGAAGAGCATTGGGCTAGTATTCCAAAGGTCGTAGGTTCGAATCCCACCGTGGACGGGCATATTTTTCAAGCTCGCCCGGTGTGGATATGCACTCAGAGTAACATCACAAACATATTATTCACCTGAGTACACAACACCAGCACAGAAAAAAATTCATATCACAAGAACACATTGGTATTGAAGGAACTAGATACTGTTCCAAAATATCACTTACTCGAACCGTCCTGACCGCGTAGCTCAGTTGGAAGAGCATTGGGCTAGTATTCCAAAGGTCGTAGGTTCGAATTCCACCGTGGCCGGGCAAATTTTTCAAGCTCGCCCGGTGTGGATATGCACTCAGAGTAACATCACAAACATATTATTCACCTGAGTACACAACACCAGCACAGAAAAAAATTGCTACAAACCTGTTGCGAAAAATCTTTTTGACAAGTTGATGGAATAGCTTTGTCACAAGTTGCTAACGAGCTTGCTATAAGCCTGTTGCGAAAAGAGTTTTTGACAAGTTGATGGAACAGCATTGTCACAACGTGTTAAGAAGCTTGCTACAAGTCTTGTTCACACATTGATGGAAAGGAATTGTCTCAACTTGTGAACAAGGTTGCTATACAAGCCTGTTGCGAAAAGTCTATTTGAGAAGTTGATCGAACAGCATTGTCACAACATGTTAACAAGCTTGTTAGAAGCCTGCTGCGAAAAGTTGATGGGCAAGTTGATGGAACGGTATTCTTGACAAGTTGATGGAACGGTATTCTCACAACTTGTTAACAAGCCTGCTACAAGCCTGTTGCGATAAGTCTTGTTCACAAGTATGCTTAAAAAATGCAATGTCATTACAAAGCCTCGTATTTTTAGCCAGCTTGCTTCATTCCGGCTTGCTTCATTCCAGCTCGCTTCATTCTTGAAATATAAAAACATGGTCATATCCACTTTTAATTGGGGAAGAACATTTTGAGAAAGCATTGTTAAGAAGTGACGGCTAACTGCCCCAGCCATGATGGGCTTCGGTGGCGCAATCGTCATAGCAAGCGCCTTCCAATTCAGCTCTGATATCATGTGGGTTCGATTTACACTGCGGACACATGACACTTATGTAAAAGGAGTCAGTCAACGCTCTACCAAAAATCCATGAGTTTTCTCTGGGTGTTCAAGTTTCGTCCCGCAGGAGCAAATGTTCACAGAGTTGTATAGGATGACCTACTAACTGACCCTTCCAATGCCGTAACTGTACTCCGTGATGAGACATGAGTCATAAAGTGGCGAACTGAGGGGCTTTTAGTAAGCCTTAGACTAGGTTAGGATAGCTTACGTCCTTGACAATTCAGCTTAGCTCTCGGATGCAAGTAAGGATGATTTGCACACACCTCGCTACTTATACGTAATATAGGAATCACCATGCAGTTATTGATGTATTTTTGTCACTATTGCTGTACAATTGTATTAGTTGTACGTAGATGGGCCATTTGGTGAAGAACATCAAGATTGGTATCGTTACGAAGCGTCAGTTTTGGTAGGAGGAGGGATTGGAGTCACTCCATTTGCTTCGATTTTGAAAGATATTGCTCACAAAGGAACATTGAAGTCGATATTCTCTTGTAAGAATGTATCAGAATTCACAAATATGCCTGTGGTGCTTTCCGTTAAGGACCATTTCCACTCAAGAAAAATTTCCACGCGGACAGAAAATTTTCCGAAAATATCATTGTTAATATCGGAAAATTTTCCCGAGTGGTGGAAATGGGCCTTTACACAGTCAGCCAGAACCGAAGTTCCCTCTCTATGTTGATAGGAAATATCTCAATATTTCCTCTTAGCAAGTTTTTCGACTGGTTTTAAAACAAAGTGTGAACAATTTCGCCAGGAAATACGCTAATTACATTGATTTTGAGCTTGACTTTTAGGTGTATTTCTTGTGGGTTACAAGAAGTCAAAAGCACTTTGAATGGTTGACAGACATTATACGAGAAGTCGAAGAAAAAGATTCTAATGATCTTGTCAGTGTTCATATTTTGGCCACTCAGTTTTATCGTGATTTTAATTTGAGGACGACAATGTTGGTAAGGAATTTCACTTGCTGATGCACATGTACAATTCTTAAAATATTATACATTATGATTCATTTCTTTATTTTTTTCTTCCAGTATATTTGCGAACGCCATTTTCAAAAGATGTCCGGCAATTAGTCATTGTTAACCGGACTGCGATCTACAACTCACTTTGGCCGACCCGACTTTCTGCCATTTCTAGAGTGTCTATCGACAACCACCCATCCGTGGGTAAGCTTAATATTGTTATAAAAAATGTATTATTATCATCAAATATGAAGTGAAGGCTACAACCTGAGAAAACTGTAGAAACTTTGTCGAAATCACAAAAATCCCTTAGCTTTGTCTCGAAATTATAGTAGACGAATGGCCTTCGCATGAAACGTTAACGTTCTTTCTGTATTTTTGAGGTAGTTGTACTATCATGTACCGCTTTCTCAGTTAATGTAATATTCTGCAAAATTGTAGCGGGAGCAAGCTTCTCCCTCAGCCTCTCTTTGTTGCTACGCCAGAGGATATATCAAAAAGCTGTTTTGAAATTAACTATAGGCGGGGTGCATGAGGTTTTAAAATACCGACGATAATGTTTATATACGATATATATACTGTATATTTCTTGACATTCTTGTTCAGGCTTCAAAATCGGAGTCTTCAGCTGTGGTCCCCCTTCGATGACGAAGGGTGTCGAAAGTGCATGTACTGAGTTAAATAAAACTGAAGGGGCTGCGTTCATTCATCATTTTGAAAATTTTTAACCATCTACTCCCAGTAATATATGATCTAATAGTTTATTATATCGAGATAAGTACACGTATCCAAATTATTCTACTTTATACAGTTAGTTCAAAACATACTGCAATCGAGTTGGAAACAAATTTAAATCAAATCATCAATGGGTGATTCCAGCTATCGACTAATTTTTATATAGACGAGAAAGATAGACGAAATATGTCATTATAAAGCTCAAAAAAGCATCCTAAAATTAGTAAAACTGCAAAGTTCGGTTGTGAAATGTTGTAAAATACGAAAAATTAGCCCTGTGTAATTAGCAAAATTTGAGTATTTTAGTATTATGCGCGGAAAAATACACCATTTACGGCTCAATATTTCCGTGCGTAATACTAGAATACTCAAAATTTGCTAATTTCACAGGGCTATATTTTCCGTATTTTACAAAATTTCGGAACCAAACTTTGCAATTTTACTAATTTTAGGATGCTATTTTGAGCAAAAATAATAGATTACGCCCTTCTTGTCTGGATAAAAAAATTATTCGGTAGGAGGAATCATCTATTGAAATCAAGTTTAAATAGAAATATACTGTACAGGTTTGAATTAACTCAACATAATATCATTATGTACTGAACTTTGTTCTGATGCGTAATACTATTTCCGTGCGTAATACTAGAATACAAGAGAACTGTATTCAATTTCAAACTTGCTGATTGGGACGGTCTACGAAATGCACTAGTCAATTACACTACTCTTCCCTCTAACCAGTCAACTGACGTCAACACCGATTGGGAGCGATGGAAAGGTCTCTTTCTCAGAGTTGCTACTGAATATATTCCATTAAAATCGTTCAAAAGGAGCAACTCACCTCCCTGGATTGACGGTGAAGTTAAACGTATTCTCTCGAAGAAAGATAAGTGCAGAAAACGGGCTAAACGCGACGCATCTCCTAGACTTTGGGAAAAGTTCCGCGAACTTCGAAGATCAGCCAAAACGTTAATACAAGCTAAACGTACGGAGTATTTTCAAAAACTTCCATCTCTGTTAAAGTCCAGTAGCAAAAAGTTCTGGTCACTATTTAAATCCACCTCAAGTCACTCCAACATCCCTGCTAAAATGTCATGGTCCATTCAAGATTCAACGTCTTCGACTGCTGACAACCCAGTTGATATTGCTGATATGCTAAATCGCTACTTCTACTCGGTGTTTCAAACTCCCGACCATACCCACAGCCAACTCTCCCCTGTTGATTTTGAAGATGACATGACCGATCTAACCACCATATCAGATCTTACTCTAACCGAAGGAGAAGTTCGTTATGTACTTCGAAATTTTGACGAAGAGAAAGCAACTGGTCCTGACAAAATCCCAGCAGTATTACTAAAAAACTGCGCGGCTAGTATAGCTCCGTCATTATGTGAACTTTTCAACAATGTCTAATGTTGTCTAATGTTTGTCCAATCCCAAAGAAAACTCCACTTCATGAAGTTTCCAATTATAGACCAATTTCACTTCTGTCGTTAGTCTCGAAGGTATTTGAACGTTGCATATACAATAGACTTATAGATCATATCTCCAGCAAACTGAATGAGCTACAGTATGGTTTTCAAAGAGGCAAGTCTACCACTTCCCAGCTTTTACATGTTCTTCACAACATTCATGAAATGCTTGAAAAAAGATGCCAAGTTGACACGATTTACCTCGACTTTGCGAAAGCATTTGACAAAGTAAGTCATGACCTTTTACTTGTGTAACTCCATAACTTTAGCATCAAAGGTAATCTTCTTCGTTGGTTCAAAGATTATCTTTCTGGGCGTTTTCAAAGAGTCACTGTACATGGTGTTACATCTCAGCCGCTCCCAGTACTATCCGGCGTTCCCCAAGGATCAATTCTTGGACCAATCCTCTTTCTTATCTACGTAAACGATCTTCCCGATAGCGTCTCCCAAGATACTGCCGTGTCAATGTTTGCTGATGATACTAAATGTCATCGCGCTGTTCGTAACCCCCAAGACAGAGAAATCCTACAGTCAGATCTTAACAATATTACGAACTGGTGTCAAGACTGGAGGATGGATTCAAATAAATCCAAGTGCGGAGTTCTTCAATTTACTCGTTGTCTCCAACCTACTATCAACCAGTACACATTAGCTGACATCCCAGTCAAACCTTTAACCTGTGTAAAAGATCTTGGCGTAAGTATCACCAAAGATATGAAGTGGAACCAGCACGTGCAGGACTTATCCTCAAAAGCTAACAAATGCTGGGTTTTGTCAAGAGAACAGCGTCCGGCATTCACGATAAAAGAGTTCGAAAAATACTGTACTTGACCATCGTTCGAAGCCAGCTAGCTTACAGTAGTCAAGTGTGGGCACCCCAAACTGTCAACAACATCCTAACGATCGAACGGTTGCAGCGACGTGCATCAAAATTTATTCTTTCGCTCCCGTACAAAACATCTATCCCGTATAAGAAACGATTGGCTACCATCGAAATCCTCCCTCTATGTTACTGGCATGAGTATTTAGATGTGGTGTATCTTCACAAATGCCTTATAAATAACTCTGACAATAACATATCTATAAAGATCCCTACACGAGAAACAAGAAATACTAGTTCAACTAACGGCATCCTACTTCATGTAACCAAAAGTAAAACTGTTTCTTTTCAAAACAGCTTTTACATCAGAGCTGCTAATGTATGGAACACGCTTCCCGGCTTCATAAGAAATACCACCACATCTCTAACTACATTTAAATGTAATCTAATGAAATAATGCGTAGAATTAACCCAACAAATTTATGACCCTGAAGACCCAAGAACATTTAAGTCTGTGTGTATTAAATGTTACATCACTCGCCCACTAATGAACTTATCAACTCGAACATGTTGCTAAATTTAGTTTTTGTTCGTTTGTTCGTCAATACGTTTGCTTTGTCTTCTTGTATTTGTGTTTAATTGTTATGTTTGCTTTAACTTCAAAATAATTAGATATACCATTAGTTGTTCTTTTTTGGAACCCCGTTATTGGAGAACTATCTCTGTGTGGAAATTCCAGTCATTTGTAACCATAGTACTCTACATAGATCTATTGCAATGACAAACTTGTAAAAAAAAATAAAATAAATAAATACTCAAAATTTGCTAATTTCACAGGGCTATATTTTCCGTATTTTACAAAATTTCGGAACCAAACTTTGCAATTTTACTAATTTTAGGATGCTATTTTGAGCAAAAATAATAGATTACGCCCTTCTCGTCTGGATAAAAAAATTAGTCGGTAGGAGGAATCATCTATTGAAATCAAGTTTAAATAGAAATATACTTTACAGGTTTGAATTAACTCAACATAATATCATTATGTACTGAACTTTGTTCTGATCATAGTCTGTCAAGACATGATGATCTGGAAACCCGGCAAACTTCAAAGCTACAAAATTGAAGACCTTTGTCTCGTGTTGAACTGTACCTCACCGTGCACAAATCCTTTGTCTCAACTTCATTAATTAAATATTATTCATCGTGGCTGCACATTTCATCAAAAATACAATGAGCTTAATCACCGTGAATGTACACAAATTAACCGATATAAAACTCAGACAAAAGCATCAAAGATTCAAAGTCATCAAACAATGACTAATATTTAGTTTCCAGACATCTTACCTTGATAGACTACAGTATGTTCTCATACAGGGTGTATATAAAAAATAGGTTTTCCAAAATTGGCATGTTATTATGCATTACATATTACGTTTATCGATTTACTTTTTAACACCAATGAAGAGCAGACTTAGCTTTTAACTGTCAAATGCTGTCTTTCTTGTATCATTGTGATAAAAAATAGCCAAATACGATTCGATTTTAAAATGTCGGTCGAAATCTCACCGTCAGGAAGTGCATGTAAAGCTAATGTCTGAGTATTGAAATTATTCTCATTTGGGATTGAAATTGAAGTCCGATCCCGTGAGTAAATATATGGCGCAATGTATGTGTAAGCATCAAGTTTTGATAAATTTTAATCGCAATTTTACATCGAAATCAGGACCGAAATCGAAATTTTACATCGAAATCCGTAGCGCAGACCACGAATATTTAAATATGCACCCACCCCCGCCCAATTATCGCGCCTTGTTACGGCCCTGATCCATATTGAGCGCCTACAACATTTTACAACACTGCATCCTTGCAGATTGATCACACAATAGCATACGTTTCCTAAATGCGCAACAAACATTTGGGCAAATATTCGAAATTTGGGCGAACTTTAAATCCCATATGTGGAAAAATATGAATTCAACCGATTACTTTAAACAAGATCACACATGGTTATCTTTATCGTAATTATTCGATAAAAGGTGACAACCATTTGACAGCTAAAAGCTAAGCCTGGTCATTATTAGACTGCGTGGCAGGTGCAATGGGTAAATGAGAGCCTGCAACAATCTCAAGGAAATTTGAACACCGCTCACTAATTACCATGATAATTTATTTCCAATACAACCAACCATATTCTCTGAAGTTCGTGTGCGTGATGTTGTGTGAATAATAGCTATAAATATACTTTATTATAATGAAAAGATTTATTCATAGATTGATCATAGCTAGATACATTAAAAATATATAAAATCCATTAAAGCAATTCGTTTAAAAAGGTTCAAGTTAGTACAAAGTGTCAAACAAGCTAGTATTATTCATATAAAATGGAACTCTAGTGCCCCTCAAACATAGAAGGGAAGATCTCAGCAGACAAAAAGAGAGTTTCGTACGTAGCCAAGACATAGTTATTGAGTATGGTTTGCCAAATTTGGCTGCCAGCTTTGTAGCAAGAATCTTGTGAAATCTCGCACATTCTTTACCCATCGCACCATTTGTGCCAAAGACCAATGGTGTAAAAACTGCTTGCTCAATTTCAATTACTCTTCGATTATATTCTCTTTTCTTCTCATTCTCACGACGTGAGAGGATCTTGTGGGTTGGTAGTAACTTATAGGACGCGGCGTTAAGATGTGCTACTCTTATGTCAAAAAATGCACTTTGGCCATGTCTATAGAAACCCCTAGCTTTCACATCAAGTCGCGATTCATCTTCTGTGTTTGTTGATCTCAAGGCAAATTCTTCTCCTGTCACCGGTTGTAAAGGTGGCTCGATAGAAACATCATTGCAGACTTCAGAGAGGAGAGCAGCTTCCAGATTTCTCATTTGGTCGTGGCGCGCGTGTATAAAGCCACCTTTTTTACACTCCATCGCGGGGTAAGGATCGAAAGGTTTTCCACAGGGACATATGCTTGGGAGATCTGGGATATATTTGTTATATCTCAGCGCCAAAGCGTCTCTGAATTCGTCTTTATTCAGACAGAAGCCTTCTTCTTGCAGTGGTAAGACATTTAACCATCCAGAGGCACCTTTATCTCGGGCTAAAGAGATTGTTCGATGCTGCTCTTGGGAAAGTTGAATATCAACCGATAATGAGGAGGTAGTTGCTCTTTCCACCCGAAGACTTCGAACTTGGGACTTTACGTTGGTTATTGCGTCGTCTTGTGGAAGTTGATTACATGCTTGAATGGTGATCAAAGCAGATAGTGGAGCACATAACAGTTTTGACGTATTTCGCTCGAAATCAGCATCCTCTGGAATACGTGGTATTCCCAGTCCTCCATTACGTATGGGTAGAGCATAAATTTCCCGATCAAGTTGAGAAATATCCTGGCCAAATATAGTTGGTAGAAATTTCGAACAAATAATTTCTTCTACAGGTTGGAACAAATGGGCCACGTTTGGAATAGTCCGGATGTAAAAAGTAAACTTGTGCTTATAACCTTGCACAAAAGCAGCGTATGCGGCATGTGGCTGCGACTTCGCTATAGAGCATAGATTTTCGAGCTCAGTACACCAAGTAGAGACTTTGATATTAACATATTCCTCTCTGAAACAAGTAGATCCAATGACAGCTCCCAGTAATCTATGACCATCGGATGTAATCTTGATGTCGTGACTTTTAAATAATTCAGTGGCTCTCTCTATATCACACGGATCTTTAATTACTAACCAAGATTTCCCACTGTTGACATGGTAGCCATACTTTACGCCTTCGCTTATTAGCATTTCAAAAAACGCCAGTAAAGCACGTAGTTTACCCGCTGCGGTCGAGTCATCGGCAAACCAAACCTGTTTCACCATATCATATGCATCATGAAGAAATGAAATTAATACCATGACCGAAATGGCATAGAAAGGCATGGCTAATGGGTCCCCCTGTGTTGTGCCTTCTTGCGATCGAAGCTCACCTCCGCCCACAATAAATAGCCGCGCGGGGTTTCGATACGTATTAATTATGGATATCGCTGGTCTTGGGCATAATAACAAAATGTTATGAAGAGCAACTTGACGATTTAGTG